GCCTGTGCGCAGCCTATCTATGCATAGGCCTCTCGCGGAGTGCCGGCTGAGGCCCTCACAGAGGCCCACGGTAGACCTGTGCACAGCCAGTGCACAGGCCTGTGGTAGGCCTGTCGACAGGCGTTGTATAGGCCTGTCGCGGAGCGCCGGCCCCGGGAAAGGCTCCCCAGAGGCCCGCCACGGGCCCGTGCACAGCCTATGCATAGGCCTGCAGCGGGGCGCTGGCCTCTGGAGAGGCCCCCCTGAGGCCTGCCACGGGCCTGTGCTCAGCCTGTGAACAGGCCTGTGGTGGGCCTGTGCACAGCCTATGCATAGGCCTGCCGCGGAGCGCCAGCCCCCAGAGAGGCCCTCCCCGAGGCCCACGATAGACCTGAGCGCAGCCTGTGCACAGACCTTTGGTAGGCCTGTGCTCAGCCTATGCATGAGCCTATGGCGCAGGAGCCCACCGGTCATAAGAGAGAGCCTATCGCAGGCCTGTGTGTAGCCCGTGCATAGGCCTATGCATAGGCCTACGCATAGGCTGTGAATAGGCCTGTGGCGCAGGTGCCTACAGGCCCTGAAACAGCCTAGCGAGAGGACTATCGTACGCATATGGGCTGGCTATGCACAGGCCTGTGATAGGCCTACCGACAGGCTGTGCATAGGCCTATAGTAGCCCTGTGCAAAGGCTGTACCAAGCCCTACGGCGCAGGCCACCATAGGCCTATGCACAGCCTATACGTATGCCTACCATAGGCCTGTGGATCGCCTGTCCACAGGCCTAGGCCGATGGATAGCCTGTGTGTGCATCGACCTATGGGCACCTATCATAGACTATACAAAGGCTATCGTCGGGACTGTTGATTGTTCCGAATAGGTAGCATGTCAAGCGTCGAGGCGTGAGCATTTTCAACTGGGTAACAAGTGGCTGGCACGACATCGAAAACACCATTCCATACTCGAAGTCCTGAGCGCGTCCCTGCAGTTACAGTTCCGGCACAAGCACGCACTGCACACATTACAAAGCAATTTACATAATGAAGTGGCACCCTGCAGGGACTCAGCGATGGGCCAAATATGACCATGGTTAGAACCATGAGAGCAACGCTGCTGTTTCAACCCACATGTTGCCTGGGCCACGCGATGCGCGACACCGCCGAGCACAATGAGCGTTGTGACCAAGCAAGCCCTGAGGAGAGTTCATTTTTGAGTCGTGATCTGGCATCAAAAGGTTTCGTTTGCTGGGCTGGATGGCATACGCTCAGCCACAAAACTAGCCCTGCGCTGGTACAACACAGCTTGTCGCTGCAACTGCTGCTTCGAGGCCGAATCTCACCAAGCGAAACCGCCGAGGCTGAAATACTTTGTCAACGACTTGTACCTAGTACTGTCCCCGCCGGATGTCATGGTGCCGATGGCGTACATAGAACACTTCTTCTGGCCGTCGGTGATGGATGCCTCAAACTGAGCATAGATGTAGTCCCCTCGCACAACCACCTGGCGCTTCGCCATCTCGTACTCCTCGGGGGCGGCCAAGAGGGGGGTGTCCAAGAGGGAGGGGCACAAATCATGGCCGGCGGCATGTGCGCGGCCCAGGGGGGGGGCGGGGACGTATTGAAACAAGAAGAGGCGCCATGAAATCTGGGGAGATATCATGGCCCCAGCCATGTTATCCCCCCCCGTCGTCACCCCCCTCTCTGCCGCCCCCGAACTCCTCAAGCTCCGAGACGCCACTGTCACACTGCAGGAGGCACCTCTCCAAAGTCCACTGCGCAGAACCACCCATCTGAGAAGCAGCCACAATAGACTGCACCTGCAAGCCCGCCCTGCCAAGGATCCCGTAGGCCTTGGGCGGCTGGAGCTCCAGGGCCGTGGTGATCTTAAGCTCACCGCTCTGCGTCGGAGCACTCTCCTGCGTGGCCTCCGCTGGATCGAAGATGTGCTTCCCCTCGAGAGGGTCGCCCTGGGCGTCATCGGCTTCGGGCTTGGGCACCACAGCGGACTCTGGCACCTCTCCGGCGGCAACTCGTGGGAGCCTTCCGTGCCGTCTTGCTGGCTCTTGCGAACCGACGCAAAAATCGGCGCCAGTCGACGCCGAATCGATGCTGAACGACGCTGAGTTGGCGATCTCTTACCGATTACCAGACACTAGCGCACGCTAGTGCACTCTAAGGACGGGGTTACGATGACATACCATAGGAGGCGCGCAAACATGGATTAGCGATCCATGGATTTGGCGCGCGGTCGCCAAATCCATGGATCGGGGAGGTGCCCTCCCCAAAATGCGGCCGGTGCCGCCTCGTTCGGCGGCGGAAATCCGCGATTTCCCATGGAAACGAGACCTGTCGCTGATCCACGCCCCCTTGATCCATGCTTGCGATCGCCTTATACGAGGCTCCCATGCATTGCTACCGAGAACCTCCATGTCCTCGTCTTGCGGGTGCGACTTGGAGCTGCCGAACACGCCCTGCTCGAGCAGAGCGCTGGGCGTGGGCCGCCTCGCGGGGTCGCGGCTGAGCATGCGGCCCACGAGGTCCACGTCCTCGGAGTACTCCGAGCTGGACAGCGACCTTTTGTGTTCGTTGTTTTGATTTGGTGTTTGTTATGTGGTGTTGTTTTTCTGTTGTGCTGCTTGTTTTGTTTTTTGTTTTTTTGCTGCGGTTGGACAGCGACCTGCATGCGCTGCGGATGAGGTTCGTTATCTTGGAGGCGGTCAGAGGACGGCTGTAGAACCAGGTGTTGTCCGTCACCGTGCCAGCGTCACGTTGGCGCGTGTCAGGATGCTTGTTGGCTGTCTGGCAGCGATTTTGCAGTGCTTACAGGGACGACACCGCCCCCTCGCACGACGGTCCTCCGAAAACCGTCCCCGTGGCTTGGCTCCCTGGCGCCCTCTTCGGCCTCACGACTGTGCAAATTCAGCCAGAAACTGCCCACGAACAGCTGCAAGACACTGCAAGACCATCCAACTAAGGCCCAATGAGCTCCCACAGGCCTCACGATCTCCCCAATATGCCCCAGGAGGCCCCAAGAAGCCTCCAACAAAAAGAACAAGCCTCCGACGGGGTCCCAGGAGGCGAAACGAAATCTCCGACAAACACCTGGCAACGTCAAGATGCTTCGTTTCCAAAGCTGTTCTGCCTCAGATCGCCTCGGGGAAGCTTCAGGGGGCCTCAAGAAGCCCTCGAGCCGACTCAGAACAGCCCCAAGAGCGCCCCAATACCTCCCCAAGACTGCACGCATCAGCCTCCAGACGTCCCCAAGGCAGCCAAAGACCGCCCAAAAACTGCCACAAGACACCCCGAGACCACCCAAAGACGGCGGCCCGACGAGCCCACAGAGGCTCCGAAGTTTTCACAGATGTGCCCCAGAAAGTCCCACGAGGTCTCCAAGAGACGCAAGAGGAGGCCTTCAGCGAGGCCACCAGAGGCGGCAAAACCCAAAAGCCCAAGAAGAGACGAGTGAAAATGAGCATGGCGGGCGAAGGGCCCGACACGACGCAGCTGCGCGTGACGCAGGGCGCCGCCCCATCTCTCGATCCGCTGCGCGCCGCGGCTCAGCTCAGGTCGGGCATGTCCCCCTTCAGGCGCACTTTGGACGAAGAATCAAAGACACCCCCAAAAATATTCATCAAAAGTATCCACAATCGACCCCTGACGATCTGTTGACCATTTTGCAATACAGCCATCGTGCTACCGTACGGAACGTAACATGAGGAAAGAGGGGGCCTTTCTGGCTACGGCAAGCCTCGGCCACGAACAGGTTCCCCGACCTAGGTCTAAGGAACGGCTCGAGAACCAAAGCCCCTCAGTGCACCCGAGGCGGTCCTCCTTTCAGCGTCTTGGCTGTGCTGTTCCTGCAGAGGGACATGCCCGACGCGAGGCTCAGAGCGGCAGGAGGCCGCAAATCGCGCGCACGCAGGGGGCGCGCCCACCACCCCCCCCCCTTGCCCCAACGGTCAGGTCGGGCGTGTCCTCCTGCAGGGCGGATTTTGGACGAAAAACAAAAAAGTAACAAAATGATGAAACTGACAAGAATAATCAAAAAATCGTCCCCAGGCTGTTTTTCCACCATTTTTGAATATTCCTCCTGTAGGGGGACAGGCCCGACCGAACACAACGGGTTTCGCGCAAGGGGCGCTCGTTTCGAGGTGGACGGCAAGGGTGCCCAACACGCGGATTCGCCAATGAACAAAAAAAAAAACGCCATGAGCATAAACTGTCGGCGCTCCGCGCGGATTTCTTGGATCTGCGCTGGACCCCCTCCCTGGCGCGCGGAGCGCACCAGGGGCGGCGCTGGAAGCGCCGCCGGGGGAGCCCAGCGTGGATCCAAGACATCCGCGCGGAGCGCCAGAAGTTGATGCTTATGGCGTTTCTAAGTATCGTTTTCTTCTTAGTATTCATAGTATGATTATTATTCTTCTTATTATTATTATCATCAATATTACTCTTAGTATTAATATTATTAATCTTCCTATTAATACTATTAATGTTAGTAGTATTATCAGTATCAGCATGACGATTAGCAGTATTAGTAGTATTCGTATTATTGCTATTAGTTTGCTTAGTATTCTTATGATTAGCAGTATTGGTATTACTATTCCCTACCTGGGCTCTGCCTACAAGGGCTCTTACTCTCTATCTTAAAGGGGCCGAACAGTGTTGCCCGCCCCGGGCGGTTCCCCCAGTCCCGGCCCCGCGGTTCCTCCAGTTGCGCCCCCTTACCTTAGCTTTGCGTATCTCATCTTAGCTTAGCTTATGTCATCTTAGTTTAGCTTAGCTTCATCTTAGCTCAGGGCTATCTTAGCTTAGCTTACCTCCATCTTAGCTTCGCTGAGTTTTAACATAGCAGAGCACAGCATAGCATACCATAGCGTAGCATAGCATAGCGCAGCAAAGCATATCAACGCATAGCCCAGCATAGCATGACATAGCATAGCATAGCATTGCATTGCATAGCATAGCTTAACTTAGCATAGCATAGCATAGCATAGCATAGCTTATCATAGCACAGCGCAACATGGCATAGCATAGCATAACGTAGCTTAACATAGCACAGTATAGCATAGCGTGTCATATCATATCGCAGCATTGCATAGCATAGCATATCATATCACATCATATCATAACATAGCGCAGCAAAACATGGCATAGCATAGCATAGCATAGCATAGCATAGCATAACATAGCATAGCATAGCATAGCATAGCATAGCAAGTAATGCTGCTTTCCTAGGGGCTCCAACTTCTAGGTAGGGTGGCACTGGGGTGATTATTACTACTATTATTAGTATCATTATTACTGTTATCGTTATTGTTATTGTTATTAATATTACTATTATTATTGATAATATTAGTATTATGATTATTATTATTAATAATAATACTATTATTGTTATTACTAGTTATTATTAATAATAATCTTCGACTTTCCGTTCTCACAGTCGGCACACCATCGGAGGCGCGCAAACATGGATTAGCGATCCATGGATTTGGCGCGCGGTCGCCAAACCGATGGATCGGGGGAGGTGCCTTCCCCAAAACGCGGCCGCTGCCGCCTCGCTCGGCGGCGGAAATCTGCGACTTCCAAAATGGAAACGGGACCCGTCACTAATCCACGCCCCCTTGATCCATGCTCGCGCGAGCGCCTGATAATTACTCCACGGGGGGGGGGGGGGGGGCGGGGCCCGCGCCGATCGGCCAAACAATGAACAAGCAAACGATGCCCTGGCTGCTTCACGGCGCGAGGCTGACATGCCGTTCTGTTTTTTGTCGAGCCACACCGGCGCCCTCCTCAGGGCAGGGCGAGGGGGTGCGCTGCAGCACCAGATGTGGCCAGCCCCGCTCAGTGTTCCCCCCCTGGGAGGGGAAGGGGGAGGGGGAGGAGGAGGAGGAGGAGGAGGAGGAGGGGGAGGAGGAGGAGGAGGAGGAGAGGAGGAGGAGGAGGAGGGAGGAGGAGGAGGAGGTAATGCAGGAGGCGGAGGACGAGCAGGAGGAGGAGGAGGAGTCGGAGAAGGAGGAGGAGGAAGAGCAGGAGGAGGGGGCGAGGACCCTTTCGCCATCAGCGCATCAGGCAGCGAGGAGATGAGGTGAGACGCGCTGCTGCGCTGCGCTCAAATCAAGAACCTGGCTCCAAAGGAGGGTTTGGAACCTGTGCGTTCGCGTGCAGTGTTTTGCGGCTTCAGACCGTCTCGTGACAGCGACAGAGAGCCCCCACAAAAAACCCACGACAGTCTAAGATGGCCAAACGAACACCTCAAAAAAGCTTCAAAGCTACACGTGTCGACATCTAAGCGACTCCAATAGAGAGCCCAAGACCAACCCAACACAACTACCAGAAGCCCCAAGACCACTCAAAAAAGCCCCAACGAGGCCCGAAAGTCTTCAATACCTATACGACCACCCTGCTGGTGATAAGGAGGTTGGGGAGGGGGCCAGCAATGGGCAAAAGTGGTGATTGTTGTTGTGACGATGCCTGTGGTGCGGCATATAGTGAGTAGTGCGATTGTGCACGTGAGCGTGATGTGATGTGGCGACGTCGGCGAAGCGCACTCGATACTGTCGTGAAGCGCTGTCCCCGCGTGCGCTTATCAATCGCGCGAACCTCACCTCAGCGCTAGTCGACGTGGTCGACCGTGCGCGCTGCGGTGCCACAGTGACTGCTCGCGGCGCCACCCGATGCTGCCTTGGTTGCAGGTCCAGCGCTCGAGGCAAGAGCAAAGCTTGGTGTCTGCATGTCAGTTTGCATGTCAGTTTGCATGCAGACTTGCATGTCAGTTCGCATGTCAGTTTGCATGTCGTGTGCACGATGTGCTTCTTCGGTCTGCATGTCAGTTTGCATGCAGATTTGCATTGGATAGCTCGCCGCAAGCGGCGATGTTTTGAAATGCACAACGCACGGCGAGACACGGGCGGGACACCAGCGGGACACCGCGGGCCACCGTTTGACGGGAGGAGCATCCTTTGGTCCGACCGCGGCCCAGCCACAGGAAGATTTCCGGACACCAGCGGGACACCGGCGGACACCGCGCGACACCGGCCGCCGGAGGAGAAACATTTGGTCCGGCCGTGGCCCAGCCACAGGAGGATTTCGGGACTCCCGCGGGACACCAGCGGGCGGGACACAGCGGGGCACCGGCCGCCAGAGGAGTTCCATTTGGTCCGGCCGCGGCCCAGCCACAGTAGGATTTCCTCTCGCCCGCCCACGCAGCTTCGCCTCGCCCGCACGCGCGCACGGCACGCACGACACGAACCCGAAACCGAAATCGATTTCCCGGTAGGGGGGGTCTCCGTTTCACGTCGGACTCACTCCCCAACCTCCGATCTCTTCAATATCACCCCAATATGCCCCAAAAGTCCTCAAAGCCTCCAAGAAACACCCGAAGAGGCTTCCAGCAAGGCCCCAAGAGACGAAAAGTATTGAAAAGCCTGGCGACAACCGATGTTTTGGCTTCCGATGCTTTTCGGCGTCCAATCGCCTCATTTAAGCTTCAGAGAGAGCCCCACGAATTGTCTAGACGGCCTAC